AAAGAGAGATTGGACATCAAATTCTCAGTAATGATGATTAAATGTATTTCTACCTTCTCTGACACAAAGAGTGAAAATATTATTTTCCTCCTTTTGATTCACTGTCTAACTTCTGCACAAGCATATTGTGTCAATACGTACCTCTTCTTTAACCTATTTGGATGTGTTGCCATGGAAGTTGAGAATTTAATTTCTCAAGTGCTTGAACATATTCTTATATATTTCTGGCAACAAAGGGAATCCTTTTATTTTCTTCAGATACTGTTGCCCTGATAATAATTTTGCTGGTTCATAGTTCTATTAAAAGGTGATACTTTTTAGGAATATTTGTAGTATTCATATAGTTAAAAATTTGTAATGAGTTGGAAGATTAAAAAAACAGATTCAAGGGCAAAAGTCAAATGGGAACAAGATGAAATCTTTTTAAACTATTGTTTTTTTAAAAAAAAAATTGGCTTCACTTGCAATTTTTTCTATCTGCCCCAATAATACAACTCCCACCCCTATATTAAGTGTGTCATGGTACAACATGCTGGGTGAAAAATGAAAACTGACAGGCACATTTCTTGTGCTTAGTGCCAATCTGTGCTGTTCCTCTGTCTCTGGGGTTTCTATCCTATGACCCCGACAGGTTTATCACCGAATGCTACTTCTCTATGCCTCAAGTAAGGTTTTAATTTCAAAATATAATTAAAAACTCTGCCTCCCCTTCAGAGAAACTAAATGGCAAATATCTTGACAGCTTTCTTCCCTGGGCAGATAGATTGTTCAGGAATGATGCGCTATGTGTCACATCACATCAGTCAGCCAAGCATGTCAGAAGCTTTTTGACCAGAAGTGCAATATGTTGTAGATTCATTTTTAATACACACATCTCAAATATGACTATTAAAAGCTTTTAATGCATGCATTAAGCACAAATATGGAATTGAAAGGAAAGACAAATTGCAGTGGACTTTTTTTTTTCTTTTTAAACTCCAAAACAGAAGGTGGATATCAGGTCTAAAAGACTAATGATTCTTGAGGAACCATTCCTACCACCTAATTCATATTAGCCTCCTATTCAAACTGTTTCCAAGACATAATGACTATAAGACATTCACAAAGTCTTGTGCAGTGTCATAAAATGATCCTATCTGTGCCTTAGTGCATCTGTTAATTCATTTTGATATAATTTATGAGGGAAGGATTCAGCAGACTGATATAAATCTTTACAAGAACCTGTTGATTCTAATCTTTCATCTAAGGCCAGTGAGTCAAAATAAATAAATAACCTGTCTTGTACAAACTAGAAGCATAAATATTAAGTTATAACCTTGCCCATCATTGTAGTATATACATTTAGAACATGCCACAGATGGGCTAAGGTAGGATGAGAATATCTAGATCACATTTTAATTAATTAACTTTTTAACACAAAAAAAAACCCCAATCACATATACAAATGCACAGACTGGAGAAAGTTCCATACTAATATGCAAATAAAGAGGGAAAACAGACACATACATTAGGGAAAGTTGCATATAAAGTAAATATGAATTGTCTTTGTTCCCGTATGCTTTTTTAATAATATACTGCAAAAGAAACTGGACATAAAGGATAGCATACATATGTAACTAACATTGACTAGAAGCAGAGTAAATTCACCTAAGAACTTGGAAGCATATCATACATGCTGTGCAACTTGGTACCTATGTATGATATAGCACATGGACAGTCTTCGTATCAGTATGTGGCAAAGAATACCACTGGGTGGTCAAAAAATATTTCTTATATTTCTTGCTGTATCTTGGTGCTTTGACTTAACTATGACAATTCAGATCAGTACTCCTAATTCCTATGTAGCTTGGAATTCATAAGTATTGCCCTGGGAAATCAATTCCCACTAAAAAATTCTTAAATACATGTATGGCTGATGAGAGACAGGCACAATCTTTTCCCCCCAAATTCACAAGGCAACCACAATTTTTCTGATCAAGCAATGTCTAGATTGAATCTAAAAATCACCCGTCAGCACAGAGTTATGGAAAATTAAGTTCAGCACATTTCTATGCAGCAAAAACATTGGTACTCCTCCACTTTTTCCCAAAGATTCCCAATCTGCTGTGAAGTAAGTTGAAATGGGCATCTACCATTTTTGTTCCATAATCCACAGAGCAGACACTTTACTTATGATGTATGACTTGCATATTCGGAGATACAGTATTTTTCTTAAATAATGGAGTTAAATATCCCTCCCCATAACTGATATACTCCAAATGACTTGGACTTCAATTGCCAGTGTCTTGTCACTGGGTCTTGCTGGTAAGAATTCAGGAGTTGCTAGACAAAAAAAGAGGTAGGAGATTTTTGTCAAACCAAGGAAGATACTATGGCTTTCAACTATACCCACAAGTCCCCACAACTGACAACTTTACACATGTCTTGTCTGCCCTAACAAAAGTTTATTTTCTTCTTCCATTTCTGTTCCCAACTAATCCCTTCTTCAGACACTGAAAAAATAAATATAATCAAAAACTTTGCAAAAAAAATAATTAAATGTGCATAAGACCTGTATTTGAATTTCTAAAACAGGGCTACCAATTATCTGGATACTTTGAAATAACTTCTCAAGCATTTAAATATTCCATACAATGTGACGAGGGAAAAATGACTGATGAATTCATGCAAGCTTGTAACTTCAGAATTCTTTAATCATTCATTTATTATGCAAAACAGGTTTCAACCTCCAGTGAGATTTTCCTAGTAAAGTATCAACACTTGAAAAAATGAAGTGTGAAAAAGAGTTTAATCTTAACTACCCTAAGCACAAATGCTAATATGCTCATTAAAGAGACATTAAATGGAAAGACGCCCTAATAAGAGATTTTAGTTGATTCAAACCATTTCCGTTTTCTAAAATGCAAATATCTATGTAAAAACAAGCTCAACAGAACCAGACAAACTAAGGAGATCTGCATTTGAGCAGTTCTTACACAATCTGAAAAAAGGAAACCCCACAATACACCAATTTGTTGATATCCATTGCAGTGGTTCTGATAATGATAAGGGAAATATATAAATCCTTCTTGAGAATGTGAGTTTCAATATAGTCCTAGTTCATTCCATGTTGTCATATATTCACATAATGTCCTAATAGGTACTGCCTCTTAAAAAAAATTCCTACTGAGTGCACATGCAGAAGGTTCCTCTTTAAAGCCTAGCCATTATTCAAGAGCTTTAATTGCTTAACTCCCCCATATAGTTCTTACTCCCTGCCTCAAGTGAATCAGAGACCAACAACAACTATTAGTGTTCAATAAAGACACCCACAGGAAACTGTTGTCTATACCCACAAAGAGAGACAGAGAGAGTTTCCATGTAGCTACTCCTGCTCTTTTTCCACTATTAGGAAGCCAAGATCAAAGAGAACTCTGAGCAGAATACTATAGTCACTGAATTATCATAGTTGCCTTTCTTTGTTAAGTAAGCATATGGCCCAGAGTTTGACAGAATTTATACTTCTTGAGCTATAAGCAGTGCTTTTTATGTAAAAAAAAAAAAAAAAGGTGCCGGAACTCACACACGTCATATAACCCGCCTTGCCTACCCTACAAGGTTCCATCCAAAAAAGGTGCCAGAATTCCGTTCTGGGCGTTCTATGACAAAAAAAGCCCTGGCTATAAGTGTGTTTTCTTAGTAGTTGTATGGGAATATTTGATGGAAAGCAGTATCCTAAGTGCAAAATTTAGAAGAATACTGCACCTCATAATATTCTTGTTTTTCTTTATGATTGTTTGTTTGCTAAATCAGTTGTCAAGGATTTGGACTATAACTGAAATGACAAGGCTGAAAACTGCCACTGTATCTACCTAACTATTATATGCTCCAGATACAACACTTCACTGCACAAGCAAGAATTGCATGGTAAAGTTTCCACGACATGTGTGATTGAAACTCATGTACCAGAAACATTTTCCAAGGCAATTAGACTGCCTAACAAAATAACCTTCATAATCATCTTACAACTAAGCAGTCTATCTCCCTGATTTCTTTTCCTCAATGACTATGAAATATAGATATTTCATAGATCCAGAGGGTAAATAATGAATCCACAAATCATGGGATGCCTCTGACTGAAATGCCCTAGTTCAGTGATGGCGAACCTTTTAGAGACTGAGTACCCAAACCGCAAACTAAAACCCACTAATTTATCGCCGGGTGCCAGGTGGGCGTGGCCCACTGGGTAGGCGTAGCCCGCTGAGTAGGCGTGGCTGTGGTGGTCATGGCAGATTAGATGGGTGTGGCCAAGGTGGGTGTGATCACCTCAATGTTGCTCGTGGGGAGGGACGCCTGTTGGGGCCGGGCAGGGTGGGGGGAGATCCAGGGGGTCTCTGGCAGGTGGGGTGATGGGCAGGAGGCTCATCCTGCTGGGTGAGGCGAGGCAAGGCGAGGCAGGGTGGGGGTGCCATTGTCACAGGGCAAGGTGAGGCAGGGGCCGGGGTGGCTGCTGCCTGACACCATCGGCCGCTGCACACAGAGGCCAGTGAGTGCATGGGTGCTGGGATGCATCTGGCCATGTGGGACCTCAGCGAGTTAGCGGGCAGCTGGTTGAAGAGGGACGGTTGCCATCTCTGGGGCGTGGCACGCGTGCCCACAGAGAGGGCTCTGAGTGCCGCCTCTGGCACGCGTGCCATAGGTTCGCCACCACTGCCCTAGTTACTCCATCTGCATCATGACCTATTCCATTCCAGCTACATATTTTGTATATAACTCCTTATCTAATTGCTTATTCAATGAAGAATTTGAGCCCCTTGATCCAGACAACACTTAGGATGCTGACACTGACAGGAAATATGGTAACACTTCAACTTCCCAGCTATGAAAGATATAAAAAGCATTCAGATACACACAATCTCCTCTGCAGCACAGTGAACCATTCCTTGGCATAAATCAGTATTAATGTTCTATCTCTAGACCTCAGCTACAAACTAGTATGCCTAGCAACAGAAATCACCCACCTGGGGCAGCATGCGATTTTCCTCCTCCAGCTGTCTTACTCTTGCTTCCAGCTGCCTAACATAGGACAAGGTTGATTCTAAAATTAAAAAGACAAAAGAAAAGGACTTATATTATACAAAGAAGTCTGCTTTGGCAAACTCAAGACCAGAATTACTCACCAATAGATTTCTGGCTTTTGTTTTCGTCAAAAACTACAGTACTGTCTCTAAAATATATAGTAAATGTGCTCTCTTTTTCATGGGCTACAAAGAGGAATGTGATGTATCCATGAAACTTTTAACTTTCCATATGTGTAAATGCTCAGATTGATAAACTAGAGCAGAGATGGTGAGTATTGGATTCCCCTTGAAGGGTTTTTCAACTACTCAGAACAGTTGAGCAGTTCAATTTGTTCTGTGCTCAGTTGAGGAGCACAGAACTTTATTAGTTGTGACATACTGTCTTGAATTCTACAGAATTAAACAAAACTTTCTAAAAGTTGTGAAGACTTAAATGGAAATATTTGCTTCCAAATTGCTGTCCTCTTATTTTAATTCCAAAGTGCACAACTTAAAGGCCTCTTTTACCTTTGAGATTGAAGACTGCACTCCAGGACAAGAAAATTAACTAATAAATATAAATTAATTTTTAACTTATATTAAATTAATAAGCACTATCACTTGATTATCCCCTTCTATATAAATTTATTTCCAAAATAATTTTTCCATTTTCATCTATATCAGTGGTCCACAACTGTTCCGGCTCAGCAGACCAGCAGCGGCAGCAGGGAGGGGACAGGGGATGGTTTCGTGTGCGTGCCACTTGCACAAATGCAGTTTCACACACTCTCACACTTGCCTGCCACTTATGAGGCCAACAGGTTCCCAATGGGCCAGTGCCTGGCACCAGGCCACGGACCAGGGTTTGGGGATCCCGATCTATGTACTACAAAGGATATACATATATAAAATGAATCTCCTTCACAAACCCATATAACATCTTTGAAAAAAAAATCCTTTCTTTTCATGGAAGCTGAATATTAATTGCCTGATTAGAAGGTGGAGCAGAAACCATCTAATGGATCCAGAAAGTGTTACTCCTTACACTTGTCCTCTATGTACAATTTAGGTTTTTCAATTTTATTTTAATTTACACATCTTTCTTTAGTGCGTAAGACATAAAAGCAAGAAGATGGTGTCTGCCACATCTGATACCCATGCTCCTTTTTTCATCCTTTCCCAGAGGCTTCTTGGGTTATGGTGAATAGGAAGAGGAGGAGAAAGAGTACTGGAAGCAACTTTTACCTGGTAGCTTCATCTGCCATCTTTTATCTTTTATTGGTTTTATTGCAATTTCTTTAATTGTGAGCCGCCCATAGATGTTGAGTCAGGCAGCACGCAAGTTTAATAAACTATTTATTATAGTTCATAGTAGTCAGCCAAATATTCAGACTGGATTTGGCATTTTTATCCATCCCAAGGACCTAGGATATGCAGATATTGTTGCTTAATAATATTAAAGGTATCATTGCAGGATGTATTATTATCTGTTCACAAAAATGTAAAATCAGAACTCCTACTTCTTTAGCTGGTGTTGGGCTTTATAACACACTGAGTTTTTCCCAAGAACCTAGGATGTTATAATACAGTATATCGGCATAGTATATGTGCAGATCCAATGTAATAAATATTTATTATTATTATTATAGTCAGCCACCCAGTCAGCCAGAGGTCTGAACTGGATTTGGCATTTTTATCCACCAAGGACCCGGGATAGGCAAATATTATTTAAAGAAATATATAATCTTCTCTTATTCTAGATGCCAGTACCATTGTAGATACCTTCCTCCATTCCTTCTGATCTTCCTGCTCCCTGGTATAAACGGATTGGACTTGTTGTAAATGTCAAAATAAGCCAACCCAGCAGAGACACAAAGGAAGACAAAATGACATTACAAAGGCAGAGAGAAGCAACTGAGGCAGAAATTATGGGTTTGGAAGAAAGGATAGAGAATCTTCCATACCACATTATCTTTCTCAGGAGGCATTAGTTTCTTCATTGAACTATTCCCCCGCTAGCAGACTATGTGTGATTGCATTCCTCCATTCTAATTGCAGACTTAGCTGATGCCTCAAAAGCCTCAACCTCAAACAGAAACAGCAGAAGATACTCAAAACCTATAGAAAAATAGGAAGTGGTAACCATTTGAAAACAATTACAATAGACAAGATATATTATTCAATGGAAACAAAGCCTTACTACAGTCCCAGTCTATAGGTTCGATAATGCTACAGGATTTCTCCTTTTCACCAAGACAGCAACTGCTTGTTTAAAAAACAGTCATCTTGACAGAAAGGCCACACACAAGCTCAACAATCTTAGGTAACTTTGCTGCTGCTGCTGCTGTTGAGATAAACTAGACTATTATACGCACATTATCTCATCTGCTAAGCAACCTATAAAATAAGAAGGAACAGTGATGAATGAGGTTTCATTTTTTTCCATTCCAAAATTTGTTGGAAATTTAAATAGGCCCTCACTCTGGGAGTGAACGTGAATTGCAGATGATCAAGGTAGCAATCCATTGTGGTTTGACACAAGTGATTAATATACAATGTACAATACAGGCTAAATATAGGACTCTGAGACAGCAGGGGAAGAAATGATCCAAGGTTTTATGTGCTTTGCTGTGGAAAGTTGTCACAGTTAAGTGATGGGTGAACTTTGATGATTTGAAAATTAGCATACCCTGCCTGCAAAATTTCATTACAGCAATCCTCATCTTTGGGCTCACCCACTGTTTACTCTGGATTCCTGCAATCAAGATCAGTTTTAATTTTCAGCAGGCCTTATATTGGTGCTATTTTATGGATCTAATGTATTGGAAACACCCACACTCCTGGCCTCCCCAGTAGATGATAAGTTATACAAAAGTGGGAGCATCAGCAACTTTCAATAAGTGTTAATTAACAAATTGCTTTTTATTTCATTTTTCCTCTTATACATTTTCTGTGGATTGAAGCAGTCCCTCTTATAAACAAGAAGTTAAGAAACTGCATTGAGAAACACAGATTTCCAAAGCGCCTGAAGGCAGGACAAGCAACGGATGGAAACTAATCAAGGAGAGAAGCAACCTAGAACTAAGGAGAAACTTCCTGACAGTTAGAACAATTAACCTGTGGAACAACCTGCCTCCAGAAGCGGTGAATGCTCCAATACTGGAAGTTTTTAAGAAGAGACTGGACAGCCATTTGTCCAAAATGGTATAGGGTTTCCTGCCTGAGCAGGGGGTTGGACTAGATGATCTCCAAGGTCCCTTCCAACTTTACTACTACTACTACTACTACTACTACTACTACTACTACTACTACTACTACTATTATTATTATTATTATTATTAAGATATATAAAGATAGAGATAGGGATAGATTTAGATATATACAGTAGATATATAGAGATATATATAGAGAGATAGAGAGATATAGATAGATATAGATATAGCTATAGATATATAAAGATAGACATAGACATAGACATAGACAGACAGACAGATAGATAGATATATGGTGGGAACAGAAAGGAAGCAAAAGGAAGCCTCATACCTTGCTTAAAGCATGGACAGGAAGGTTAGGCGCATTGATATCCTTCAGATCCCTCTCACCATCATACTTCAGATGTCCCATCTTTGTCCAATAGATTTCTCCCATTTGTGAATACTTATACTTAGAATATTTTTGTTCAAATCCCAATTTAGCTATATGCTCAGAACGGTAAAAGGTTAGCTGGGCAATTCACTCCTTCCACACTTATCAAGGCCTTTGATGGTTTTATTATAATGTTATAAATAAGTATACTGTAGTTGCTGTTGTATATGCTTTTTTTTAAAAAAAATCCCTCTATTTTGGGATGCACCTCTATCTCCACTCAGGCAAGACAAGATATACTAGTGTAGGCAAAACCATTAAGAGTGCTTGGATAAATCAGGCACAAGTATTTTCATCCATAATTCTGTTTCCAATAAGAACTAGCTGGATGACTCTCAAAGGCCACAAGCAGAACATCTAACTGAAGGCCTTATTTTTACATTTGTCTCCAACAAGTGTATTCCCTCTATATACGGCTTTGCAAATCTGCCATCAATCTTTGATTTTTACTTTAAATCATATATATGAGTTATAATCACCTAATTTTATTATTGTAAATTCCTCAAGTTAATTATGTGTGGTGTGTAAGATACAACCTGGTCATATGTCTTGAATCTACTGATTACAAATATGTTATTAGAAAGTATGTCTTATACTTTTCTTATTATTGTTTAATTAAGAATAGAATAGAACAGAATAGAACAGAACAGAACAGAACCTTGGAGGTCTTCTAGTCAAGCCCCCTGCTCAAGAGCTAATCAAGAGCTAATCCCTAACTTCCAATAATTATCAGGGTCCATAGTTTTTGTAATGTATTGAGGTGAATTACTTGGAATTGTTGAAAAAACGGTCATAAGACTCTGTCAGTTAAGAGCCAGACTTGCTGTCTACATGCTAATTATCTTATGTTAAAGTGGGAACTAATACTTGAATCCTATTGGCTGCCACCTAGTTGCTGAGTGTATAAATAGGGATGGAGCTGCAGCTATTCAGGCTTCTGTTTAAACCTTTAATAAAGAGTTGTTTGTTCACCTGCTGCCTCGTGGATGCCTCACAGAACACCAAACAGTGGCGACGAAGGTGGGATGTGCTGCCAAACTCGAAGAGCTGAGTCACTAAGGGGGTAAGCCCAGCGATGACGCCTTGGTTGGGACCGCGTTCCCCCCATTCCTGCCAGTACAAAAACGCTGGAGGAAGAGCACTCCCAAGGAACTGTCCCTGGGAAATTAGAAGAAGCTTTGGCAGCACAAGGCATTGCAAAAAACAATGAAAGCAACTCACCATGGCCAAACTCGGGAAACTCTCAGAATTCGATGTTGCACATCCAGAGAGGTGGTGCTCGTACGTCGTGTGAGTCGAGAATTACTTTAGAGTCAACTAAGTTCGTGAGGACGGCTTGAAGGCCGCAATGCTGCTGTGCGTTTGTGGCCAGGCAACGTTTGGGATTGCCAAA